AAAAAAAAAAAAAAAAAAAAAAAAAAAAAAAAAAAAAAAATCCAACATTCATTTTTTGATAAAGCCTCCCAGGAACCTAGGAACATAGGGACCTCCCTCAACCTGAAGAGAGCCATCTATTAAAAGCCAATTACTACCATTATACTTAGTGGCGAAAGACTGCTATCCCCACTACCATAAGGATATGTTATGTTAGGATAGTAGGCGTTCTGCTTTCACCATTCTTTGTAACATTTTACTGAAAGCTCTAATTAGTGCCATAAGGTAAGTATAAGATATAGAACACATACAAATTGGAAAAAGAAGTGTAATTGTATTTTATTAGAGATAATATGATAACCTACAGAGAAAATTCTATTAAATCTGTAAGATCAATATGTAAAAATCAATTATAATCATAAATACTATCAATGAACACTTAGAAACTGAAATTTTTAAAACACGACTAATAATAGCATCACACATGTAAAATATTAAGAATAGATACGATAAAAAATATGTGAGACCTGTCCACTAAAAAAATTAAACTATAAAATATTCCTTAAATATATTACAAAGAAAACCAAAATTACTGGAACAATGTACTGTGCTCATGTAGTGAAATCTCAATGTTGTTAACATATCATTTCCCCTAAAATTGATTTATAGATTCAATGCAATCCTAAACAAAAATTTAGTCATTTGTTTTATATAATGAGACATGCTGATTCTAAAATTCATATGGCAATGGAAAGCACATAAAATGGCTAAAGTGTGTTTAAAAAAAACAAATTTAGAGTACTTATGCTTCCTGATTTTAAAAATTACTGTAGAGCATCAGTAATCAAGACAAGACGATTTTGGTGTAGAGATTGACAAATAGGTCCAAGGTTCAGAATAGAGTCCCAAAATAGACCCACACATATGTAGACAGGTGAATCCTGATCAAGATGCTAAAGCAATTCAGTGGAGAAAGAATCATCTTTTAATCATATTTTTGGGGTGATATGAATAGTCAACAAACAAAAAAGGAAATGAAGAAACCTTCAACGATACTTCACATTTATACCAAAAATAGCTTAACAATGACTCATAAGCTTAAATGTAACACCTAAAACTATAAAACTTCTAGAAGAAATTTAAAAGAGTCTCTTTGGGGTTGTAAGTTAGGCAAAAATTTCTTATACACAACACCAAAGTACAATCTATAATTTAAAAAATTAGACATTGACCTTTATAAAAATTATGCATTTTGAGACAATGTTAAGATTATAAAAAGACAATACACAGACAAGTAGAAAATAATTAAAACAGGACATATCCAATACAATGTTTTATCTAGAATATACGAAAAAAATCTCAAAACTCAATAAGAAAAAAAAAACAGTGAAAAAATGGGTAAAATATTTGGAGGTACATTACTATAGAAGAGCTATGGATGACAGATAAGCAGAACACCACTTTCCATTAGGAAAAGTGTTAATTAAAACCATAATAATATGCCACTACACACCTATTAGGCTAAATTTAAACAGATTGTCATACCAATTGTTGGCAAACATGCAGTGGAACTGGGGCTAATATAATGCCAGTGGGAATTCAAATTGTTAAATCACTTTGGAAAAATTTTGGTACTTTCTTAAACACATAACCACCACATGACCCAGGTATATTTGCTGAAGTGAAATGTAAGTATATATAGGTAACAAAGACCTGAACATAAATGTTTATAATAGCTTAAGAAGCAATAGCAAAAATGCTCAAAACAAAACAAAAATCTGAAAAATCCTAACTGTCCATTCTTAAAGCAGAATGCACAAATATATGTATATGTTTTTCAACATCATAGCTAAATCCCTATATAATTAAGCTAAGTGAAAGAAGCAACATAAAAATGAACACTTTACATGATTTTATTTGTATAAATGTCTAGAAAACACTAACTTATACTGACAGAAAACATATTGATAGTTTCCTGGGAATGGTAGGAGGCAATTAGAAAGTACAGGTGGGAAGTATTACAAGTAAGCCTAAGGAAAGGTTTGTGGTTGATGGACAGGTTAATTGTAGTGATTGTTTCACGGGTCATATACATCAAATTATACACTTTTAACATATAGAGTAAATTTCATGTCAGTAATGCCTTAATCAAGCTGTTACTCACATGTAGCATCTGTAATACAACTGCCAAGAGTTCTGATGATTGAGTAATCGGAGAGAAGTTGAACTCTTCTAGTTATACAGAATGTACCACCTCTTATTTTGTAAAACAAAAAAGGCCAACTGAGTTCATGATAGGGTGTAAGGGCAGCCCTCATTGTTTTAGTCCAAGATTTATTAACATCTTTGTCTTTTCTTATATTGTTAATAATTACTTTTGTTAATATCACTTAATATGGAATATCTAGTTCCAATATATCAGTTTATGGGTATATAATTATGAAATAGTATTTGGGCATGTTGTGATGCTAGGCAATTATTTCTCAATTTAAATAAAATGATTGGGGCATTATATGTGTATATAAAACTTTCATTTGATGTAAGTTATATATCTATATGTCATGATATATATATTTAATAACATGTTACATATTTTACCTCCATTCATGTACTCGAAAGCAAAACACTGGGCAAAGCATATTCCTTATTTAGGGTAAAGCATATGGGGATTTTTTATCAACATTCTGGATGTAATCTGTCATTTAATTCAAAGAATGCTCTTCATTTCTTTGAATAAATACCTAGTGGATCTCAAATAATTGTGAGAACTCAATACCGTGAACATTGGAATTGTATTAGAAGATGCTATGATGTATAGAATTCTATACATTGAAGGTGAAATTTGGTCAGCTTTCACAAGACCTCCACTTCGGTACAAAATGTGATTGTTTAGAAAAATATCCTCATGTGTAAATGATGACTCCCTAAGATTCTGGAAGTAAAATATCAAGTATGGCTACACTGCTTTGTACAAAAATTTAAAGGTAATGGGAAATAATGAGAGTGGTACAGAATGTTAAAGAGAGGGACTTTAACATGTTAGGTGGATGACCTCTAAGAAGAAAATTGACTGGTTATCTACCCTTCAATTTTGATTTCTCTGTGCATGGGTTTGTAACAATTGCATATATATATATATATATATAATCACTGGTATAGATGATTCAGAAAATAAAGTTACTAGGCGTAACCAAAACATGAATCCACATAATGCTAGGAAAAATACTTGACATTTACAACACCTCTCCCTGTTCCTTCCCTCAACCCCAAGAAGTGAGAAATACTGGTTTATGAATGTGATCCCGATGAAGATTTAGAACCACTGCATTTAAACATAAAATAAGATAACACCATGCAATACGTAGGTCACAGAGGTATGTAGAGGATATGGGATCAAAACACTATTTTAAAATATGCTGCATTATTATTTCACTCAGAAAAATATTTAAGGTATGACAGGAATAGCCTGGGAAATGAGGATATAGTGATAACTAAGACAGAGCCCATATTTCAAATTGTTTGTAACTCCAGTGGATAAAACTGGAAAAAATGATTTTCAGCCAAGTAAGCGCTGGTAATAGTAATTGTGGGCTACTCTAGAAGATTTTAAGGGGAGGAAGCAGAAAATTACATTTCTCTGAATTGTAAATCTTGTTATGGCCATGTACAGTACAACCTTGTACTTTTCACAAATACCACATGGAAAAGTAGCACACATGACTAATATTATTGAAAATAATGTTATATTTTTGCTGTATTCTATCTTGTATTTCTGTATATTTCTGTTTTCATTACTTTAACTATTTAATTCTGAACCAGACATACTACATTGTTGATTTAATTTTTTAAATAAGTTATCTGAAAAGCAAGGGGAACAATGTTTCTTCAATTAAGGTCCTATTGCAGCTCTGCCATGGAATTCTAGCTAGTCCTCATGTTCTTAGGCACAGTTATCTTTCTCAGGGTGACTTTTATCTTTAGAAACAAAGAAAGAAACTAAACTACAGGACACCAGCTTTCTTAAATAATTTTTTAAAATTTCTAACTCTAATAAATGTACACTCCTGTTTTCCAAGAAAATATTTTTGATAAAATGTAAGACTGATATTCATGTAGAAATTATACACATTCATATATTCATACCAAACACATGCAACCTTGTACTTTTCACAAATACCACTACAGAAATATAGCCAAACATTACCTAATTAACTTTACAAGATTGCCACTTATTTTCAAGTTCTTCCTTTACAATGGGATATCCATTTTGCTTACTCTTTGCAAACTATTTGGTTCTTTCATTTGTCCAGATTGTTTATGAAAGGACATACAGAATATCTGTTCTCCACATTACAACTTGGGTAAGGTGAAGGCCCAGAACAATGGAAAATAATGGATCTCAAGGAAAATATGACATAGCACTTCATTTAGGATAAATAAACATTATAACATAAATAATAAGAAAGAGTGAAACACTATAATTACTAAATATCTATTTAATGATGACTGCTATAGTCATCTCATTCTTGTGTGTGTGTATGCATGAGTATATGTATAGTCTGTGTTAGAGTATACATATGCATAAGTATCCACATATATAAGTATTTCTATATTATATATAGATGGATATACATCAACATATGTGTAGATGTACACAACATTAAGATTTATACACCCAAACACACACACACACACACACACACACACACACACACACGATAGAAGACAAGTTTGCATTCTGATCACATGGTTTAACTGGAAGAAACATATATTTGTGTATACACATACACATGATTTAACAGGCAGAAGACTATATCTGTGGCCTATTTAAACCACCTATAATTGGAATAATAACTTGCCTTACTTCCTTGGTAAGTTGCTGATTTATCATGACACACAAATTTCTAAAATGCAAAGGGTACAAGGGTACTGTATTAGTTCATTCAGGCACTGCTATAAGTAAACACCTGAAATTGTGTAATATAAAGAAATGAGTTTTAATCGGTTCATGGTTCTACAGGCCGTACAGAAAGTGTGATGGATTCTGGGGAGGCCTCAGAAAACTTTCAATTATGGCAAAAGGCAAAGAGAAAGCAGGCAGGTCATACGTGCTTGGAGCAGGAAGAAGAGATGGAGGGAGGGCTACACACTTTTAAACAGCCAGACGTAATGACAACTCAGTCACTATGACAAGAGCACCAAAGAGGAAATCCATCCCCCAGGTCCAATCACCTCCTACCAAGCCTCACCTCCAACATTGAGCATTAAAATTTGACATAAGATTAGGCCAGGGACACAGGACTAAAACAGATATCCATAATGATATTTTACAGCCTCTTTACATCTTTTTTATTGCATTTTAGGTTTTGGGGTACATGTGAAGAACATGCAAGATTGTTGCATAGGTACAGACGTGGCAGTGTGATTTGCTGCTTTCCTCCCCATCACTTATATCTGGCATTTCTCCCCACGCTATCTCTCCCCAACTCCCCACCCCCCACTCTCCATCCCCTATTTCCCCCCAACAGACCCCAATGTGTAGTGCTCCCCCCACTGTGTCCATGTGTTCTCATTGTTCAACACCTGCCTGTGAGTGAGAACATGCAGTGTTTGATTTTCTGCTCTTCTGTATTTGGTGAGAATGATGGTTTCCAGGTTCATCCATGTCCCTACAAAGGACACAAACTCATTGTTTTTTATGGCTGCATAATATTCCCTGGTGTACATGTGCCACATTTTCCCTGTCCAGTCTATCATCGATGGGCATTTGGGTTGGTTCCAGGTCTTTGCTATTGTAAACAGTGCTGCAATGAACATTTGGGTGCATGTGTCCTTATAGTAGAATGATTTATAATTCTTTGGATATATACCCAGTAATGGGATTGCTGGGTCAAGTGGAATTTCTATTTCTAGGTCCTTGAGGAATCGCTACACTGTCTTCCACAATGGTTGAACTCATTTACACTCCCACAAACAGTGTAAAAGTGTTCCTATTTCTCCACATCCTCTCCAGCATCTGTTGTCTCCAGATTTTTTAATGATTGCCATTCTAACTGGCGTCAAATGGTATCTCAATGTAGTTTTGATTTGCATTTCTCTGACGACCAGTGATGATGAGCATTTTTTCATATGTTTGTTGGCCTCATGTATGTCTTCTTTTGTAAAGTATCTGTTCATATCCTTTGCCCACTTTTGAATGGGCTTGTTTGTTTTTTTCTTGTAAATCTGTTTTAGTTCTTTGTAAATTCTCGATATCAGCCTTTTGTCAGATGGGCAAACTGCAAAAATGTTTTCCCATTCTGTTGGTTGCCAAGTCACTCTAATGACTGTTTCTTTTGCCGTGCAGAAGCTGTGGTGTTTGATTAGGTCCCATTTGTCTATTTTGCCTTTTGTTGTCAATGCTTTTGGTGTTTGGTCATGAAGTCCTTGCCTACGCCTATGTCCTGAATGGTTTTGCCTAGATTTTCTTCTAGGGTTTTTATGGTGTTAGGTCTTATGTTTAAGTCTTTAATCCATCTGGAGTTAATTTTAGTGTAAGGTGTCAGGAAGGGGTCCAGTTTCTGCTTTCTGCACATGGCTAGCCAGCTTTCCCAACACCATTTATTAAACAGGGAATCCTTTCCCCATTGCTTGTTTTTGTCTGGTTTGTCAAAGATCAGATGGTTGTAGATATGTTGTGTTGCCTCCGAGACCTCTGTTCTGTTCCATTGGTCTATATCTCTCTTTTGGTACCAGTACCTTGCTGTTTTATTACTGTAGCCTTGTAGTATAGTTTGAAGTCCGGTAGTGTGATGCCTCCCACTTTGTTCTTTTTGCTTACAATTGACTTGGCCATGCGGGCTCTCTTTTGGTTCCATATGAAGTTTAAGGTGGTTTTTTCCAGTTCTGTGAAGAAGGTCATTGGTAACTTGATGGTGATAGCGTTGAATCTGTAAATTACTTTGGGCAGTATGGCCATTTTCACGATATTGATTCTTCCTACCCATGAACATGGAATGTTTCTCCATCTGTTTGTGTCCTCTCTTATTTCGCTGAGCAGTGGCTTGTAGTTCTCCTTGAAGAGGTCCTTGATGTTCTTTGTTAGTTGTATTCCTAGGTATTTTATTCTATTTGTAGCAATTGTGAATGGCAATTCGTTCTTGATTTGGCTCTCTTTAAGTCTGTTATTGGTGTATAGGAATGCTTGTGGTTTTTGCACATTGATTTTGTATCCTGAGACTTTGCTGAAGTTGCTTATCAGTTTAAAGAGATTTTGGGCTGAGACGAAGGGGTCTTCTAGATATACAATCATGTCATCTGCAAATAGAGACAATTTGACTTCCTCCTTTCCTATTTGAATGCCCTTTATTTCTTTTTCTTGCCTGATTGCTCTGGCTAGAACTTCCAGTACTATATTGAATTGGAGTGGTTAGAGAGGACATCCTTGTCTAGTGCCAGATTTCAAGGGGAATGCTTCCAGTTTTTGCCCATTCATTATGATATTGGCTGTTGGTTTGTCGTAAATAGCTTCTATTATTTTGAGATACGTTCCGTCAATACCTAGTATATTGAGGGTTTTTAGCATAAAGGGATGTTGAATTTTGTCAAAGGCCTTCTCTGCATCATTTGAGATAATCATGTGGTTTTTGTCTTTGGTTCTGTTTATGTGGTGAATTACATTTATAGACTTGCATATGTTGAACCAGCCTTGCGTCCCTGGTATGAAGCTTGCTTAATCATGGTGGATAAGCTTTTTGATGTGCTGTTGCAATCGGCTTGCCAGTATTTTTATTGAAGATTTTTGCATCTATGTTCATCATGGATATTGGCCGGAAGTTTTCTTTTCTTGTTGAGTCTCTGCCGGGTTTTGGTATCAGGATGATTGTGGTCTCATAAAATGATGTGGGCAGGATTCCTTCTTTTTGGATTATTTGGAATAGTTTCAGAAGGAATGGTACCAGCTCCTCTTTGTATATCTGGTACAATTTGGCTGTGAACCCATCTGGACCTGGGCTTTTTTTGGTTGGTAAGCTATTAAATGTTGCTTCAACTTCAAACCTTGTTATTGGTCTATTCAGGGTTTCAACTTCTTCCTGGTTTAGGCTTGGGAGGTGGTAGGTGTCCAGGAATTTATCCGTTTCTTCCAGGTTTAATAATTTATGTGCATAGATTTGTTTGTAGTAATCTCTGATGATGGTTTGAATTTCTGTGGAATCTGTGGTGATATCCCCTTTATCTTTTTTTTATTGCATCAATTTGGTTATTCTCTCTTTTCTTTTTTATTAATCTGGCTAGTGTTCTGTCTATTTTGTTGATCTTTTCAAAAAACAAGCTCCTGGATTTATTGATTTTTTGAAGTGTTTTGTATGTCTCTATCTCCTTCAGTTCTGCTCTGATATTAGTTATTTCTTGTCTTCTGCTAGGCTTTGAGTTTTTTTGATCTTGCTCCTCCAGCTCTTTCAATTTTGATGATAGGGTGTCAATCTTAGAGCTCTCCTTGCTTCTCATGTGGGCATATATTGCTATATATTTTCCTCTAGAGACTGCTTTAAATGTGTCCCAGAGATTCTGGTATGTTGTGTCTTCATTCTCATTGGTTTCGAAGAACATCTTTATTTCTGCCTTCATTTCATTGTATATCCAGTTGACATTCAAGAGCAAGTTGTTCAGTTTCCATGAAGCTGTGTGGTTCTGAGTTAGTTTTTGAATTCTGAGTTCTAACTTGATTGCACTGTGGTCTGAGAGACTATTTGTTATGATTTCCGTTCTTTTGCATTTGCTGAGGAGTGATTTACTTCCAATTATGTGGTCAATTTTAGACTGGTGTGATGTGGTGCTGAGAAGAATGTATATTCTGTGGATTTGGGGTGGAGAGTTCTATAAATGTCTATTAGGTTTTCTTGGCCCAGGTCTGAGTTCAAGTCCTGTATATCTTTGTTAATTTTCTGCCTGGTTGATCTGTCTAATATT